GATAAAAATATATATATGGGAACTAAACAAATATACATAAGTGAGCTCAAATAATAGTTACATTAAATCCCCCCTTTTTTAAAAATATTTTTATAAAAAAAAGCATAAGTAATCATTTCCAAAGAATTCTTTTTATAAATTTTCACACATTTGTGCAAATTCCACAAATGCGTGAACATTTGCAGTAGTTAAAACATTTGCGACTTCCTGTAATTTAATTTTTTGGTATAAATTGAAATTTTATTAATTTGATCATTCATTTCTGATGAGTCTTTGTTGATGAATTCTAATTAATAGGTATCGTATTTATTATTTAATTGACAAGTTGTTTTCATAAAATTTAAATTGTGTCCCTAATTATATATACCTTTACAACATCGACTATATTATTTTGATTTTTTTTTTGTTCGTCAAAAGCTACTTTTAAAATAATGCTTACTGCTTTATTTTTAAAATTAATGTAATATATATGATTTTTTTTTATAAATTCAATTTAATTTTCATAAGCATTTTTTAACTCTAAAATACTAATTTTTAATTTTGAAGTACTGATGAAAAGTACTGATAAAACACAAATAAATTAGATATTAAAAAAGCTACATAACGAGCGAAGTAATACAGCATGAAACTCCAAAATCATGGTAGAAAATCTCAGAAAAAACATGTTATAAATCTATTTTTCTTTAAAACCAAGGACTATCTCATCGTCAAATAGCCAATAAGTTAAATATTGGATATTCAGTTGTTGCGCATATTTGAATTCAGTTGTTGCGCATATTTGAAAATGTTATACTGAAACAGATGACATTATGGATCTGGACGATCTGGTGGGTCAACTGTAACAACACAATGAGATAAATGTTTATTAATTTGAAACACGACAGCAAGTTGCTATGTGTTCTCCAACGGCAATCACCTCAAGAGTGATTCGATTTGAATTGTACATGAAAATGAACCAAGCAAGGTAGTGACAGTGTAGACATTAGGGCCTTTATGAATTATGTAAGACTTAGATGCTATCGATTATTTGAAGGTTGACTTAATGCTGATAGATGTATTGAAATTTTAGATAATTGCCTTTTTTAATGCTTATTTGTGAAAGGTGGTTCAGCAAAATATTGAAATTTTTTTTTTTTATGGTTTTACTTTTGTAAATTATTGTTTCAATATATTATTAGAAATGTTTCATTATTTTTTAATTTTTTGGTATCTAATTCATTATGTCAAAAAATCTTTTTTTTGATTTTCATAATGCGTATAGATTTCTTTTATAATGTTAAAAAATTCTTAAATATATATATATATATATATATATATATATATATATATATATATATATATATATATATATATATATATATTTTCAATTTAGTTAATTTTGAATTAATGTTTTTAAAAAAAAAAATATGTGAGCTCTAATTTAGGGCCAATTGTAACAAGGAATAAAATTGTAAATATTGCTTCAAACTATGAGTATTTTTATCATAGCACTATCACTAGGAATATTTAAGCCAAGATTCACATACCCATACCACATCAAAGTTAGGATTTTATATCTTCTCTTCAATGATATGCCTTTTGTACTACTATTAAGTCTTACCAACCCCAAAAAACTAATTTAACGTCATGTCCTGGACATGATTTTGATTCAAAATATTGAAGCTTAGCAGGGGCCTAATATATATATATATATATATATATATATATATATATATATATATATATATATATATATATATATATATATATATATATATATATATATATATATATATATATATATATATATATATATATATATATGTATATATATATATATATATATATATATATATATATATATATATATATATATATATATATATATATATATATATATATATATATATATATATATATATATATATATGTATTAGGCCGCTGCTAAGCTTCAATATTTTGAATCAAATTAAAAAAGATTTAAGACTTATCCTTGACAAGCAGGATAAGTGTTTTTACATCAATGTAATAATGTATTGTGACTATAGAGTAGCCTAGCAACAGCTGGCAAAAAGTTAATGCTGAAAAAATATCTTTTAATCTTGAAAAAATATATATATAAAATACTATTATTAGTAAACATTCTAAGAAAGATAAAAAGTTTATCTATCTAAAAAAGTAAAATATAATAAATTTCTACGTTCAAAATTTTTTTAAAAATGATTTGAAAAAAAAAAACAAAACACACTAAAGTCGCTATTGCTGTAATTACATTTTATTTATTTTTAGAGGTTTCATATTTTATTTGAGACATTGTATCATATACTAAAGTTACTTTTATTATAATTTCCTTTTAATAAACGGCTAAATGCATTTTTAATGGCTAAAAATTAGAAAAAGTAGCTCGTTGTCATTGAGAATTTTTTTATATTCGGTATCCGCAGCCATAATACTCTTGAAATATGCCAACTTTACTGTGTTTGCGTATAATAACTTTCCACTTATTTAGTTAGTCTGAACGACTGTGAGGAGGTTCTACTGTTGTTTATCTAGGTTCTGTCGTCTAGCCTCTCAGAATTATTTAGAAAGTATATATTTCGTGTAATACTTAGTGTAATGTAATGTGAACCTACAATCTAATGCTAAGTGCTATTTTCTAGCGTAATTGTAGTGATGTTATTGTTTTAATATTTTGTGTTAATAGACAGCTAACCTTCCCGTTGGTCTCTATTGCTAAAAATGATTATAGTTAGTTTCATTACTCTAACGAACTGCTAATAATCATAAAACAAGACAGCATTTGGTATTACCATAAAAAAGTTTGTTTAAATCACTAGATCTTTAGTGTTGTTAATAATTTTTCTCTTTGAATAAATTTTTATAGTTTAAATAAGATTTTATAGTTAACTTTGAAATTTTTTTTAATGCATCTTATTGCAAAAATCGTATTATAATAAAGGGTTCTAGGAAAAAATCCCCCCGAAATAATCCCCCGAGAAAAAATTTCCCCGAGAAAAAATCCCCCTGGAAAAAATCCCCTGGAAAATATCCCCAAAAAAAAAGCAAAAAATTTTTTTACTTAAAAATTAGCAATATGTTGTTATGTTTATTTCTTGATTCATTTTAAATATTTATAATAAATATTTTATTTTTCATCAAAATGTCAAGTTATGTGCTATTCCTCGAAGGTAGCAAATGTGAAACCCTAACCCTGACGAACTGCGAACTGGTAAAATGTGAACTTTTTTGCGAAACCATCGTAGTTAATTTAGCGGTATATTTTAAGAACTTTCAAGCGAAAAAATTATTTAAAAAAAAAATAAAAATAAATTAAGTGAAACTAGACGAATAAAATATGAATATATATATATATATATATATATATATATATATATATATATATATATATATATATATATATATATATATATATATATATATATATATATATATATATATATATATATATATATGTAACTATATATAAATATTGTAATATATATATATATATATATGTATATATATATATATATATATATATATATATATAAATATGTAAATATATATATATATGTCGATGTAACTACACTCCGCGCATTTTTTACATTTAAAAAAGTAAAATTTTATTTTAAATAAAACTTTCAAATAGATAATTAAGAATTGGAGAATTTTTTTAATTATTATTTTTATCATAAAAATATTGGTCTTTAAAATGTTTTGTTTGGCAAGAAAGTTCGCATTTTACCGGTTCGCAGTTCGCATTTTACCGATAAATAAATAACTATTTTATTAATAATTTTTAATTAAAAAAGTTTTTTTTAGGGGGGATATTTTTTGGGGGATTTTTTTCTCGGGGGGATTTTTTCTCGGAGGGATTTTATCCGGGGGATTTTTTCTCGGGGGGATTTTTTCCTGCTACCATAATAAAATAGTTTTTGTTTTAGTCTTTTTGTTTTTTAAACTTATTACAAAATACATATATATTTTTTTTGTTACATATTTAACTTTAAATTATTGATATATTTAAATAAAATTGTTTTAAAGATATATAAATTTAAGACTTTCTGTTTTTATGGCTTCTTTAAAATGTAACCCGCAAACACAAGCTTAAATATATATATTTTTTAAGATATATACTATTTTTAACCTTTTTAGTCATTACCTATGCAATGGTTGAAGAAAGATTTAAACAAACTAATTAGCTAATTAAATAAAAATATCAAATGCTGTATGGCAAAGTTGTGTAGTATAATATTAATGTGTAGTATAATAAATATGTGTATAATAAATATGTAGCGTAATTACGCTACATATTTTCCGCATTTTAAAAATATGACCCAGATAACACAGGATTTTTTTTTTTTTTTTTTTTTTTTTTTTTAATTAAATTTTGTAGCCATATCAATTAAAATAAAGATGGCTTCAGTAAAAAAAAAAAAACGAAAATTTTTTACTTAAAGTTAAAAAAGCAACAAATAGACAATTAAACTGAAGCTTCAATATTATAGAAGCAAAAATATTTAATTAAGCCAACATTTAATATATCCACTTTGTTATGCCATGGGCAAATACAACACTCAAGAGAAAATAGTAAATAAAGATCTCTAATGAGGTTGAGATAATTATTTTCTACAATTATCTGTAACTTGTTGAAAACCAATAAAGGATATGTGGGAGCTGTGCACTAGACCTTTCGTGACCCATATTACAGGTCCGTATTGATAATTAAAAAAAAGTTTTCAGATGTTTTCCGCTTTGGTATCGTAAAATTTGTGTTCTAAAAATTAGATTTTTTTTTATGTAACGTAAGACATTTTGCGGGCAAACATTGCACAGAAACAATCTCTAGTATTCAAATAAACAAATATTTTTATAAATAAACAAACAATTTGACGTCAACAAAATAACGCGCAATCACGGATCACGCATTCCACAGATTTTTGAACTTTGTTTTTTGTTACGCAACAAACTGTTTTTAATACGTAACGCTTAGCAATTTTTATCCTATATATAACCATAGA